CTCACTTAGCAGCGACAGGGCCCAGGAGTTTACAACATAAGAAGACTTCAGTTTCAGTTTGCTGTGCACATGTGTTTCTCAGAGACTCAGTAGCATGCAGGAGTTTTAACTCTGAGATGGATGGGAGTAGTTATGTTATGAAGATAAGGTCTAATTCTCATTCGTCCATGTGTTCATTCAAGAAAGAAACAAAAAAAAAACCTGACCGATCTTTTCTTGATTAAGCAGGAGAATACCGTATTTACCCTTTATTGTTGGTATAAACCATTATTTTAGTGAGAACCATTAGCTATTTAAAACTTGGTACATAAATTAAAGAGGAGCTAAATGGATTTGTGATCGTTGCCATTAGTAGCATTTTAGATTATACAGGCAATTATTGTGTTCATTATCCTAGAACAGCCCCTTTGCAGAGCCATTGTGGTTGTCTTAGACATTATGCACAAATTTTCCCTTGGAGATTAAAATTTCCAGTAGCGTATTTAATTTTGTTATCACAGTTGCTTCAAATGAAACAAATATTATGACAAGTAGAAGGAAATCTGCTTTACTAATATAGGAAATTACAACAAATGTTAGAAATGACTTTCTCGTGTATTAATTTACCTTTTCTTATATACTCATAATTACTTTAAGAGATTAATCGTGTATTTTTTGGGTGAAAATCATAGCAAAAGCTATATGGTCTGTGAAGGTGTTAATGAAATTCTTTAAAGAATGCAGGTTCATATCAAAACTTCAGTGACCACTGTCTTTACAAAATCTGTAACTTTGTAAGTTAACTAGTTTTTGTTTTAAATAGTTGTTGTTTTTTTTTTAAGAGTCCATATTGTCTTTTAGATGAATCAAAGAAACTTTTAAGGGTGTTTCAGAGATATTCAGTGTAAAAAGATCAACCGCTAATTGGAAGTGGTTTTAAATAAGTGTCAAAATACATCTTTTCTTCCATTCCGTTGGAACTGACCACAGAGTTGAGAGTGCGAGGTGCCCTTGGCCCAGGTGTACTTCCCATCCTGGAGAGCAGTCCGGATTCAGGAGGAGCTGCCTTGGGAGGACAGGAGGCAGAGCTCCTTGTCCAGAAGTTGCCTTTGACTCTGGTTCACTTGCCCTTTCTTCCCACCTTCCAGTGAGGAGGAGTGGGAAGGCAGCATTTAGTTGTCTTCAGAACTGTGATATTCACTAGTCGGGCAGTCCACCACATCTGTCTTGGTCAATTAGAAAGGTATTAATGCCTTGAATTATCTGCATATCCCTGTGCAGTGGGCTGCTTTTAATGTTTCCATCCTCTGTGGCATTTTTCAAAGGAAACTTTGTATTCATTTCTGAGTGGTTTTGTCCCAGCTTTTAGCCTTTCACTGCTATGATGCAGGGAAAGTGTGAGGTAGTAGTTATGCGTTTTGCCGGACAGTGATTCTTTATTTTATTACAAAAAAAGACCAACTCTGGAAGGCCAGATTAAATCATTCCTTTCACTTTTTAATGGGATTTGGATGAATAGAGTAAAATATGCACTTTGCATTCATTGATAGCATCTTTAGGTTGAGGTAATTGAGTCTTTTTTCCCTGACTGAATGAATAATGACTTCATCTGATCCTAGTGAGGCCTGAAACTTAGGCTGCCTTTGTCACAGCAGAAAGATCTGGGCTTCGAAACATGCTCTACTTCCCTGGCTTAATTTTTCTTCATTTTAATCCCAAAACCTATTTTTCTCAATAATTCAAGCATAAACTGTATAGTAGTGAAGTAGCGGAAATTGCACGATATTTGTCCTCCTTGTGCTGCTTTTTAAATGGAGCTGATAAATCAGATGCTGTGCTCTTGAGCAGCCTTGTTCTCAAGGGAAGGCCCTGCCCCTGCACAGGGAGCAACATGAGGTGGAACTTGGTAAATGCAGTGATTTCAGGCTGTTCACCGTCTAGGGAGGTGGTGGGTGTCACTGTCCTGGTGCAAGACCTGGCTACAGGCAAGAGAGCACCTGTGCTGGAGTTCGAAGGCACTTTAGCTGCCACTGAGAGTTGGCACACACAGTATGTTTTGGGAATCTGCAGTCTCTGTGGCCCATTGCATATCACTGACAGGTCAGAAGTGAGAGATTCCTGTAAAATGACACTTAGTTTCTGTTTGAAGTTTTCTTAGTTAGGAATTTTGCATATTAGTGACAAAGCATGCAATGGCCAGATGAGACTGTCAACAAGGGAAGCCGGCCAGGCTGCTTATCCCAAGCCAATGACCCTGCTTCTTCCCTATCCGAGGCCCTCTGCAATTGGAATTGCTTGTCTGCCCTTTCCTGTGGGTAGATCACACAACAGGCGCACCCTGCTGTCCATGGCCTAGAAGTAGAGAAGCTGGCCTCCTGGCTATTCAACCTCAGATAAAGCCATACCAGGCCATCTTGAGCAGCCACGTGAGCTGCTGACCAGTACTCACCTTTTAGGTTCATACTATGTCACTGTACTGCGGTTCCCTGGTGAGGACTCCCTCTCTCATACCAGAACAGCTGACCGTCCAGTGACAAGGTCCCAGAAGACCATAAAGGAGCAGAAAGAGGTGGCAACCTCGGGCTTGGAATGTCTGCACCCCCTCCTCCCATGGACACTCCTCCCCTCCGTCAGCCTGTCCCTCCTCTTCGCCTTGCTCAACTGTGCCTACTTCATTCTGCATCTCCACAGGCCCAGAAGCTTATTTATGAGCTGAGTCTCCTGTTTCCTATTCTTTGGCCAAGAAGAAACTTCCTGCACTACTTGACCAGGGCTTGGTTTCCATTATTGGCCCTAGGATTCCGAGAGGACCTGGTGCGGGTGAAAGTAGTGACAAAACTATAGTGCAGATGAGCTGGCCTGTTCCATGCTGGGTTTGCACCACGAGGACAGGCAGACACCTGGGAAGGGGTGCCTGTTGAGTCCCAGCCCACGCTGTAGACCCTACCGTGTTCTTTTCAGTGTAGGCTCAGGATCTGCACTCTAAACAGGTGTCAGTCATACTGCTCCTGGGTCCCTGTGGACTTCCCATTGTGTCTGCTGTATTTCAGAAGGCCATGCCTTAAAAAAAAAAAATTTCCATCATTAACTCTTCCTAACCTTAGAGTTTAGCACAAAATGTAGTAGGCATGTAATTGTTAAATTAGTTTTCTCCAGAGCTGTATTAAATGGACTTTTTGACTAAGTATTCTTTTCTAACTACAGTTTCTCATGATCTCATGAGGATTTATGGCAAATATTAAGCAAAACCAGATATAAACTTGAATTAGGAGTCGTAGAAAGACCAAACTCATATTACTGGCCAAAGTTATGGATTTTCAAAAAGCATTAGAATAAACCAGGTTATTAGCTTAGCGACCCTCAGATTTTTACATTCAAAAATCACAGCACTTCAGTTGTTGCTGCCAAGGTTTTGGCAACCATGGAGTTGCTGCTGTTGGCCTCTTTTAGTTACTTTTTTTTCCAGAAGTTGTACCAGATTGAGGAGAAATTCTGATGATTGAGATGCCTAGCCCATAGGACTCAGCTAACTATCCTCATCACCATAAGCCAGAGTGGCCGATTATGTTACTTACACGCTGTTCCTGGGTCTCCTCTTGCTGAGGCTGTGGCCTCACGGCTTAGAGCCATGTACCTAGGGTGTCTGTGCTCCTCCAGCTACCTCTGCTTGGTTTTGCACACTGGACAGAGAGACTTGAGAGTTTTAAGGGAAGTCCCCAAAGTCACACAGTCCTCCACAAAACTTGATGAAATGCAAATGCATACAGTGACAACAGCATGTGTGCTTGGCTTCCTGGTCACAGGAGCTATATGTGTTGTGTGCATGATGTCTCTTCATACCAGAGTCCTGTTAGGAGGGTGCCACCATGATCCCTGTGAAGCTCTTATGGCCCAGAGCTGTCCAGAAGGCAGAGTCAGCCTTTGGATTCACTCCCTCCACAGTCCCAGGAGTCTCAGTTGCTACACTGCTTCTTTTCTCCCTCTCTCTGCTTCTGCTGCCTTCCTGAAGCCAGCAGCGCCCCCTTGTGTTCTCCTGCCCCCTCACACTGTACTGCACTATAGTCTTTCAGGGGTGAAACTAAAGAGAAGCAGTTTGCAGAGATTGCTAGAGCTCGAAATTGAAGTTACATGCTTCACAGAGCCATATTCTCTTGTAGAACGAGAGCTATTTGGGTGGCTAGTTCTCACTATTTCCAAGAGCAACAAAAAAATGAACTTCTCCTTATTGACATGATTTTCTGTACATTTTTTTCAGCTAACGAGTGATCTAAAGGATGAATTTGAGTGTAGGGTATCATACAGGGAGATCCTGAAGTATGGAAATGGTGCAAATCAGAATGTTTTCATCACAAACTAATTACCTCTGTTGCCTCTTTCTGTATCAGAAGGAGTCCTGAGGCCTTTGCAGACAGACAGGCTCTTTTATGACATGGAATGGATGCAACCAGGGCAGGCTACATGCGTGCGCACACACACACTCACACACACACACACACACACACTCACACACTCTCACACTGTTCTGTTCTTAGGGTCACTCAGTCTGAATGAAATCCCTAAATGAGTGTGTGCAGGGATATTTGAGAATGACAGCGGGCACATTGGTCTGATGTGGCACTTGCCAAGGGAGATAGGTCTTGGCTCTTGGAGGGCTATTGTGGGGCTGGTCACCGAGCAAGCCTTCTGTGCCCTCCTTTGGGCCCGCCATTCTTTGTGTCCTGATTGTAGTCAGAGTGTCACCTGCCAGGAGGACCTGGCTCAGGGCTGGCCTCATGCTTCTCGGCAGGCCCTTCTTGAGAACACTGTGGGGATCAAGACCTGCTGGCAGGCATTCTGCCTGAATCTATAAGAGGCTTTCAGGAGGAAAGTGATGTCAGTGTGCTTTTGTACTCCGTTATTGTAAAGACGATAAAAAATCCTGAAGTCTTCTTAGATCATCATGATCATGGCTTCTGATTTATGGTGTTAAGACATATAAAGCTGGCTTGGTCGTGTACTAATGTTACACTGTTTTCTTTCAGATTGGTTTGCTGGACCTCGAGCTCAATCAGCTGACGAAGGCGCTATTTCTGGCTTTGGTTGTTCTTTCTGTTGTTATGGTAACCTTACAGGGATTTGCAGGCCCTTGGTACCGTAATCTTTTCCGGTTTCTTCTTCTTTTTTCCTACATCATTCCCATCAGGTAGGTTTAAGAGTTTATAAATAAAAACAAGTGTCTGGTTTCACACCATAATTCTTTTGAAAATTTTCTTTCTCAGTGTGTAAGAAATCATTCAAACACAGCTAAAGAGCAAGGGAATAGGAACCCTAATGAATCGGAGGAGTTCTGTAGAAATGGTGTCCAGGAGCACAAGTCAGTTTTGTTGGAATAACCTAGAGACTGACAGTTTTCCTGATGCAGATGTATTGATAATGTACTCTTCAATAACTGGGAGATGTTTTGATAAAACATAGGACTGAGGGCTGGGATTGTGGCTCAGCAGTATGTGTGAAGCCCTGGGTTCGATCCTCCGAACCACATAAAAATAAATAAATAAAATAAAATAAAGATATTTTGTTCAACTACAACTAAAAAATAAATTTAAAAAAAATAGGACTGAGTCTGAGAAAATAATTTCCATTGATTGCCAATAGATTCCCACCCCCCACCCCCCTGTCTGTGACCTTGGATCTAATTAAGTCATGGACATTTTAAAGTCACCTATCTTTGAAAGAGGATCTGATATGTCCTTCAAGTTAGATGAGTGTTGAGGAAGCTAGTGTTTACATATGAACCATCTTCAAAATGATAACCCATGTAACTAGAGACTGTATGTAAACAGTTAATATCAGATATCTATTTAAAGAGTAACCCTTACAGACATTCACAAATCCATTTTACATATTTGCAAAAATGATATCATTAAAAAGATATCCTTGATATATATAATCTAAATCATTCATATGAATAATTGAAACCCAGTGAATCCTGGATGAGAGTCTGGGATAGTCATCTTTTATGGCATGGAATGGAAGAAAACAGGACAAACTCCATGTGGTCAAGGGCAAGACACTTGGAAGAGAAAGACGTCTGTGACCAGGTTCCTCTGAACGTCTCATGTCATGCACTGGGGCTTTAGTCCCTTCATGCAGTCTGTGTGCACCATGACCTAGTGGTGTGTGGCTGCCTGGAGGCTGTCCAGCTACTCTTGTTCCTCTCCTTCTCCTGTAGCACTGGCTCCATGGAAGCTCCCATCTGCATGCTGCCACTCCTAGGGGCATCCACTCATCCTGCAGTTAGGTGGTTCTTACCACTTCGAGTTCACCTGAAGACCCTCTTTGGACAGGCCTTCGGTCCTGACCAGGAAGCACCAGCACTGTCTGCCATGCTGGCCGCTGCAGTCCTGCATGGTTCATGCATCTCCCCAAACTCCCTGAGGGCAGAGGCCAGGCCTGGCACTTTGGCTGTATGTGGGAGCGAGCTGTGCGGTTCCCAGGATGGGCTCCTGAGGTACTTGTGAATGGACCTTCACTGCTTTGGGAAACCAAGCATGTTTAGCTTGTCAGAGTTGTCACAAACACATGTTTCATGCCATAAGTGGACCCAGGGAACCTAATCTTTGTCCCCAGAGACCCACCGGGTCAGTGGCCACATAAAAAGTATCCTAGAGAATCATATATTTGCTTAATTCAACTCTCATGCCAGAGGGTGCATACTTAGGTACCAGTGATCCTTGATGTAGTTCCCAACTTTAATGCATTTGACTTAAGTATGCATGGCTAGCCTCAGTCCCATAAACTGCAATATCTCGTCGCCCTCCACCAACTTCCTCCATCAGTGTCCCTCTCCACAAATACCTCCTTTCCCTCTATTCCCACGATTGCATTGCCTTTTCTTATGGGAGAATGTGGGCCAGACATCAGGTGAAGGAGGAATTGAAAAGAAAGACGTGTCCCCTGCTTTTCTGTTTCTGCCTACAGAAATACCTGGCTCTGAGAGGCAAAGCTGCTGTCGCCCCAGGTGGGTCTGTACCTGTAGCTTGCAGAAGCACCTCAATTCCTGGGAATGGATGTGCAGCCTGAAAACTTCTGTCAAGAGTCTTTTTTGTTTTTGTTTTTTCCAACTTGTAAAGTATGTTAGGGGACATTGAATACAGGCTCTAAGGCTATGTTAGCCCAGGCACTCTTTTTTTTTAAAGATTTTTTTTTAATTGTACATGAATACAATACGTTTATTTTTATATGGTGCTGAGGATCAAACCTGCTGGGCAGGTGCTCTGCCACTGACCCACAACTCCAGCTTCCATACTATGATTTTTTTTTTGACAATTATTTTGAGTATTTATTTGCATTTAGTATTATCTTATTTTTTAATTTCTAATTGTCCAGCTTCTATATTTATTTTTCTTTTCTTTCTTATACCCCTTTGAGGGTTTCTTTCTTTTTTTTTTTTTTACTTCCAGTTTTTTCTTTTTATTAACTTGGAAGTAAAGCCCCATATTTCTGTTCTTGTGTTTCCCTAGACATTTTACCCTGCATGTGTAGTGAAGTTTAAGGCTGCCTTCATTTTTACTTTGCTCTCACACAGCGCAAGGCCGTAGCGTGTATTAGCTTTGCTACCTCCTCCTTCTCGTTTTGTTAGCATACTTTTCCTGGGCAGCCTTTTACTTTGATTTTTGGCCTCTGTTCTCCTGGTACTCAAGGCTCGCAGCAGACTTCTGGGCGCCTGGCTTCTCAACATTAGTTCAGCAGTGAGGCTGCTTACAGTGAGTTTGCCCTGCACATCTGCAGTAGTCTTCTTCCAGAGATGGGAGGGAGGTCTTTAAGCAGTGCAGATTTCACTTACAGAGAGCATCAGTGGTGATTATGTTTGAAATAAGACTTGGGAAATACAGTTCTTATCACTCTTATCCAGTATTACTGCATTGCTTACACAGGAGATAGCAGGAAGCAATGCAGGGCCTCATGTGATGAGAGGTGTTGTCAATACACAGTCAGCATTGGTGTGAACACAGGGTGAGGGCACAGACAGGTCCAGTGCCCTCTCCTGTCTTCCAGCAGAGGTGCTGGCCATAAACACGGAAGCAGCTCAAGTGCTCCTATGGTGGTAGATGCTGTTTCAAGTTAGAACAGCAGAGGGCAGCTCCTGTGGCTCTGGTAATCACCAAGCACTGAGCTGCAGCCTGCATGCTGACAGACACCTCCATAGACATGGGGAAAGTGTCCAGGCCAGCGGGAACCAGAGCTCCACCTCTGCTCAGCCGTGCCTGGCTCTGCACTAGCTCCCTGCTCTCTGCTCCTCCAGCTGCCGTGCAAGGTGTCTGCTCCCGTCTTTGTCCAGAGAGCGTCCTCTCTCCCATCTGTTCTTTAGAATTCCCAAACTTTTCTTGTTTCTTTCATAAATATTGTTTTTCTTCATTTAAGCTGGTGCTTTCATTTCTGGAATATTCTGTGGCATTAGGGTTCTGTTTCACAGTGCAAGGGGTTTGGGGTGCATTTCCCCCTCTTACCTCTGGGCTCTTTTTATTATAGATTTTTAAGGAAATATTTTATTTCTGTATGCTATCTCAACTTCTATTTTAAGTAAAATAACAATATTAAAAGAATTTGAATTATTGCCCCTTTATCCAAAACAGGTGAAGTTGATTATAGTTATGCAAATTAGTATGTTTTATATGCATTTTTAAAACTTAAACTGATTTCTGTTATTTCATATTTGAATCATCACATACATTTCTAGTAAAAAATAGAAAATATTGAGAAGAAAATAAATATTATCTATGATCTTACTATCTAGATAAATTATGTGAAACCTTTTAGATCTTACAGACTTAAAATTATGAATACACACATTTAAATATATATATATATATATATATATATATATACACATAAAATCTTTCAACACACACCTTTTTTTTTAAATCTGTGGAATCTTTTTTTTTTTTTTTAATATTTTTAGCTGTAGATGAACACAATATCTTTATTTTTTTATTTGGTGCTGAGAATGAACCCAGTCACACATGCTAAGGAAGCCCTCTACCACTGATCCACAACCCCCCAGCCCCTGGAATCATTTTTAATATTTGCTAAAACAAGGAAGGTACCAGACTTTCTGCAACTCTGTCTTGGGTAGTTTTTCAGTGAATAATTTTCCATTAAGCACATTGAGTACATAAAGAGTGAGGAGACAGGAGGAAGAGTCCTCCTGTCTCCTCTGTGCAACTCCAGCATGCCCACACCCACTTCAGCGTGGCTCCTCCCCAGTTTCCACAGCCCTAGAGCACAGTGATGCAGACGAAGCACACAAGTTGGAAATGTCCGATGTCGGAAGAATGGGATACTAGTTTAGAGAATTACGGTTTACATTTGATTAAAGCAAAGTTTTTCTTTATGCGGGGGAGGGGCTAGTCTCCATAAAATGTGTATAACAATACATTTTAGTGTTTGTTAATGTGTTTTTGGATTTAATAAATGGTATGATTTTAATGTATATATTCTTTCATTTTGCAAAGAACAAAAACTTGGAAAGTAAAGTGCTTTTTTTTCTATTGTTTCATCACTCTTAAATGGCTTTTAAATTTCAAAAGCTGAGCTATTTTATAAAAATCTCTCTGTGTATGCCAGGTAGAGTGGTGCACACCTGTAATCTCAGCGGCTTGGGAGGCTGAGGCAGGAGGATTTCGAGTTCAATGCCAGCTACACAAAATAGGGCTGGGGATGTGGCTCACTGGCTGAGTGCCCCTAGTTCAATCCCCAGTACCAAAAAAATAAAAATAAAAAAAAAATCCCTCTGTGTAGCATATAATAATTATGAGTTACTTAAGATAGTATACATCATCTTCCAAAGGAAAAAAAAGAAAAAAAGATAATGTGTGTTCCCTAGTCCTGCACATCTCTTGTAGCCAAGCGAACTGTCAGAACTTCCCCACAGGGCTGGACTTGCGTTTACTTCTCCCTGTGCTTGGAGGTGCTGTGTAACGTTTTAGCCATTTTACCAGCAGTGGGCCCAAGAGATTCCTACTCCCATATGAGACCTCTCGGGGCAAAATAGAGGAATGAATGAATTAATAAATAATAAATAATAAATCAATAGCTTGACAAAGTGAATTCATGTCCCTCCTGAGAAACACCTAAGACCCTCTTGTAGAGGCAGTGACTATGCTTCAGGTACCGGAGTGCATCCTTTGGAAACAGGTTTTC